AAAGTAATACATGCTTCCTTAGAGCTTATAGTCCAGAGACAGATTTTTAAAAGTAAACAAAGCCAGTATTTACACACTATGGTGTGTGCTAGGAGATGGAGTGTAATGGTAGTGGTGGGGAGTGGGCAGGGAACCTTCCTCAGGTTGGTGAAGGCAGGCTTGCGTGAGCAAGAGAACTTACAAATCAAAGCCTGAAGGATGAGAAGGATCCAGTCGTTAAAAGTGTGAGGAAAAGTATGTGCAAACGTCCTGAGGTGGGAAGAGTTTGTTAAGTAGAAAGTAACCACGTGTGGCTGGATTGCAGTAAGCTAGAAGGGTGTGGTTAGAGTAGGGCTGGAAAGAGCAGCAGGCAGAGATACCACAGGGTCCTGTAGTGCATGGTAAGGATTCTGATTTTGTTCTCGGTCCAGTGAGAAGATAAGAAAGGTTTCTTAGGCAGGGAAGTGATGAGGTCCATTTCCTATTTTATATTTCTATTTTAAGAAGAGCATCCTTGCTGCTGCATGGAGAATGCATCAAAGTGAACAGGAGGGGAGGTTGGGAGACTAGTTGGGAGCCTGGTGCCAGAAGCTGGGGGAAGAGTAACAGTAGCCTAGACTCAGGTGGTGGCCAGAGAGAAGGAAGGATCTAGACCCATGCCATCCAATATGGTAGCCACTAGCCACATTTGGCTACTGAGCACTTGAAATGCATGAACTTTTACATAAAATATATACTGTAGTTTGAAGACTTGGTGCAAAAAACGTCAGAAAATATCTCATCATTTGCTTAGTTTTATTACGTATCGACATAATATTTTGGGTATTCATGATACATAAAATAGAATATAAAAAAATTTCATTTTGGGGGGGCACCTGGGTGGCTCAGTTGGTTGAGTGTCTGACTTCGGCTCAGGTTATGATCTCGCGGTTTGTGGGTTCGAGCCCTGCATCGGGCTCTGTGCTGACAGCTCGGAGCCTGGAGCCTGCTTCAGATTCTGTGTCTCCTCCTCTCTCTGCCTCTCCCCTGCTCATGCTCTGTCTCTCTCTGTCTCTCAGTAATAAATAAACATTAAAAAAATTAAAAAAAAATTTTTTTTTACTTAAAAAATGTGGCTACTAGAAAAATTTTAATCATGTATGCAGCTTGCATCTGTGGCTCACATCATATTTTTATCAGACACTCCTGATATGGACAAAAGTTACTGAATTAAAAAAATACTTTTGTAGTAAATTTACATTGGACACATTAGAAATTTCTGGCTGGGTATACATTTTCTTTTTCTGGCCCACTGAAAGTATTTATTTGATAAAACAATACGGTTAGTGTTCGATTCAACCACAAGAGCAAAAGCAACGACAGATTTGACAATGCACATAAAAAACCACAAGGTACATAATGTGACAAATATCTGTTTCTAAAATAATGCTCCTAAAATTCCTCAGTTACTGAAAACTGCATAAAAACGGAAGGACGTTAATAGCAACCGAGAGCATAAAACTGAAGATCAAATTCTGAGCAACTTTGCTGACAATGCATGATTTTTTCCTCTTGTTTACAATTTGTTCAAACTGTCCTTATACCAGCAGAGTGGATAGAACATTCAGGTTCAATATCAGTTGCACAACATTAGCATCAATTCGGACAACTACAGAGAGAACATTGTTTTCCTCTGAGCTGGGCAAAGTGACCACAGAAACAGCAGACCATTTCTCTGACTCAAGAATCTCATCCCTGTAAATTCCGCATATCTTCCAGACATTTTAAAGAATATATTTAATAATTTCTTTATGTAATATTTATAGATGATTTGAATTTAAAAGAACTTCAGATTACTGAGATTTTATTGTCTTTGTAAAAGTAACCTTGAGTCTGAAATGCACTGCTTACCCTTCTAATGGGCAGCAAATTGCAGGAGGCCCTCTTGGGCATAATGGGAAGAGCAGTAGCCTTTGAAGAGAGGAGAATTTGGCTCTACATCAGCATCCATAGTGTGTGAACTTGGATATGGTTTCACCTCTCCAAACCTCACTTCCTTATTTTTTTTTTTTAACATTTGTTTATTTATTTTGAGAGAGATAGAGAGCAAGTGGGGGAAGGGCAGAGAGAGAGAGAGAGAGAGAGAGAGAGAGAGGGAAAGAGAGAATCCCAAACAGGGCTCGAACTCTCGAATGGTGAGACCATGACCTGAGCTGAAATCAAGAGTCAGTCTCTACTGACTGAGCCACCCAGGCGGCCCTCACTTCCTTATTTGTAAAATGGATATGGTGCTAGCTGCTGCTTATCCTTCATCTTTAATCACAACCACAAGGTAGGGACTGTTCCTCCTTTGTACAGGGGGGGAGACCAAAGTTCAGAAAGGGTAAGTGATTTACCGAAGGTTACGTTGCTAGAAAGAGGTGAAGCTAGGACACGAACCCTGGGTGTTCTGGCTCTGAAGTCAGCTGAAAAAAACATTTTCCCCTTTCCTATGCTCCTTGCCAATTTCCCTACCTACCTCTGAAACTATTAGGAAGGTCAAACCTAATTAGTGAATGGGCTTTGGAGAGATGTCATACAATGTGCAAATGTAAGAGACGGTTAATGAAAGAGATGAAAACAGGACCAAAAACAGACACTCACAAACCAGTGTATGATGTAGCTGCGTCTGTTTAAATGAAGTCAATATCACATGTTGCTTTCTCTAATTCATGCTCTGAAAGTCACATCACAGAGGGGTGATTTCGTTGCTCAGGATGAAAATTTATAGGGATTCGGAGGAAAAGTTTAGTGGTCATACTAAAAACTCAGAGTCAGATGCACTTAACATCATATCGTAAGTGTAGTTAGTCAGAGCATAAACAAGTGTGGGGGGGTGAGGGGATGGGGGAAGTGGGGTTGGGGGGGGCGGAAGTGCTTCCTTTAAGTAGGCTGGCCCGTTCAGGGGGCGTTCATTCTGCAAGAGGCTGAGAGCGGAACAAAGACAGGATGAAGAAGCTATTTGTACTTGTCCTCTGCCTCACCTTACTGACTTGCTTCTCAGGTGAGCATGAACTCTGAAAACAGCCGTTTCTATGCTGACATGACAAGCTGGGATCAGTCTATTTTATATTTGTAAAATATTTTTTTCATTTCAAAGAATATGTAATATATAATAATTCAGTGCTTTTTTTTCCCTCCCTAAGAGCAGGCTCCCAGAATTGCTATCATTAGGGATAATTATTTTTCAGTCTTTATTTTTAAATTTTTTATTATTTTTTAAAAGTTTTATTTATTTAAATAATCTGTGCACTGATGTGGGGTTGAACTAATAACTCAGAGATCAAGAGTTGCATGCTCTACTGACTGAGCCAGCCAGGTGCCCCTATTTTATTAATCTTTAAATGTATTTGAATATTAATTCTCAGAAATGCTGATAAATCTTCAACTATACTGTCTTTTAGACTTCATACGACATCATCAAAACTTGACAGACTTTTATTTGATGATATCATTTGGAGTTCGTGTGTGATTATCAAAACTTAATATAATTTTATCATGATACCTTCTTTGAGAGATCATGTGTGATTATCAACTTTAACACAGTCTTGTTCTCACGGAGAATCTTCCAGTAACAACTTTTAGCTGCTTTAGTGTTTTGGGGATTAGAAAAAAAAAGGAAAAACCATCAAAGCAAAACTAAGGGACAAGAAACACATTGACCAGAGAACTGAAGAAAATGTGTTTTAAAAAACTTACTCAGGGGCGTCTGGCTGTCTCAGTTGGTGGAACATGCGACTCTTAGTC